TTGCAAGAACAGTTTTTTATTTACCAACACCTTGGTAAAGGTGTGGAGTAAAGGGCTCCGTCCCTTCTGCAGTTTTAGCAGGTTGGATTTATTGAGCCCCTTTCAAACAACACTTTTGACCTGATCTGTTCTGCCCTGAGCAACCAGAGGGTCCTGCTGCACTTCCCTGCAGTGCAGTCTCTCCACAGCCCCTCACCCAGCATCACCAACCTGAGCACCTCAGGGAGCAAAGCTCAGCTCCTCAGGAGCACTGCCAAAACACATGGACCAGGCAGTGAGGGAAATCTGCTTTTTGAAGGGCTCTCTGAGAGCTCAGAATGTGCTGCTGTAACTAATTCCACATTTAATTCCACATTTCTGCTGCAGGATGATGTCTCAGATGGAAACCACTCCCAGTGCACAGAGGAATAGCTGCCCTTATCTAGGCCAAAGCCCGGTTCTTCCATCATATCCATACCAAACACCACTGGTGCTCCCCTTATTCTCCCTGGGATGGGTTTTTAGAGCTCTGAGTAATGTAATGCAACATTGCACAAGGCAGTGTCCCAGTGGCACGCTGGAGCTGCACAAACATCTGCTGAACCCAACCCACTCAGGGCCAAATTGGATAGCACAACTGATTAGCCAGAGCCCTGGGGAATAAGCTCACAATTTATGTCTGCCTGAGTCACCAGCCCATGTGCAAAGCACAGTTTTAGCTTTTCTTTCTTTCTTTTTTAAGGTGGAGAAAAGCACTGTTAGGAAAAGAAGGGTCACGGGAGTCTTCTGCCTTCCCAATGTTATTTCCATCATCAGCTTATTACCAAATTCTACCCAATCCTGAAAAATTCATTAACTCTCTGCATTTGGAGGAAATGAAAATAACACTAACAATGCAATTAAAAAAAAATTAAAAGAGGAACAGAAAATGTTCAGAAACAAGACTCAAGAAGCAGACATATACAGAAATGGAAATAAGTTGCCAAAAGCAGAGAAACCGCACAATTGCCAAAGAACCTGACGATCTTGGGAATCAGGGTTGTTGTTTGGAAGCAGAGGACTCAGTTATTTAAGTTTTGATTTCTGCTCTGTTCTGTGTTGCAAACCAATGAACTTCTATCCACTTTAAAAGGAATTTGGCTGGCAAGATACACAAATGAGTAAAAATCATTCTTCAAAGCTAGGTAAGAGAAAAAACTTTTCTGTTACACAAATTCTAATTGTATTCTAAAACATCTCAACCTCCTGAAATCTCAAGACAGCTGGACAACATTAAAAACTCCCATAATTCAAACAGCTTTCCTTTTAAAGAGATGGTGGTTTTTTTTTTTTCCTAAAATTCTCACTACTTTCCAATTATCTGATTTGACATCTTGATGAGATGTAATCTACCTTATAATCTGTCTTTGATGAGAGACAATGACAATTTGCAATGCAAAAAATATCAAAGACAACTGGGAGATCTTCTAGGAAGTATTAAGTTATGATTTCTTAGGGTGCACCAATATTAACAGTGTGCCTAAATGTTTCTTCACATGCAGCAATCATAGACTGGACTGATCCCACAGGAAGCAGCAAAGTCAGGGCAGCACAAAAGGCTCCCAGGAAAATTAGAATGATTTTTACCTCCTCTTTTCTGACTATTGGTTTAATATATGCAAAAAGAATGGGAAAGTGTCTCCTCTGACAAGGAGCACCAAGACAGGTGAGACACACCAACAAAAGTGTCTTCTGAACAGAATCTACAGAAATGCCAACACCTGTGAAAGGAGTAGAAGAGAGTTGTTCCCAACTGAAATCCAAACTGAGGGTGAATTTAGAGCTCATTGTCAGCTCTGCACCATCCCCTCTCCTTCAGGGGCCACTCACACTGGTCCCATTTTGCTGAAGGCAGCTCCTTACACAGTTTGTTCAGTCCAGGGCAGCTCTGTCACCCCAGCTGGGTGTGGGCTGGCCTGAATCACCTGATGGAGATTCCCAACCCTGTCCACTGCCAAAGCAGGCCGGGAATGCCCCCAGAGCATTTTTGCTTTCCCTATTGCCTTTTCAGGAGCACTTACATAGAGACAATAAGAACAGAAGGTCCAGCTCTGCCATTCAAATATTGATCTGCTCACAGTATAAAATGAGGTAAAATTCCAGCCTTCACCACTACCACTGAAGCTGCACAATGAATTACTGGGCTGGAGCTATCACAGAGATACTGGAAGAATGATTGTGTTCCTGGGAAGTGTCAGCTTTATAAATGTTCCCCTAAACACTCAGTGATCTCTATAGAGTAACAGGACCTAAAAGTCATTTTAGCTGTGCTGTGGCATGCACAAACATTGCACACACATGGCCCAGCCCTCAAACCTGAGAGCCTGGTGCAAGCAGGGCCCTCCAAGGGGATCCCAAGCTGGATTATGTCTATCCTAGGCAACATGGCCTAACACAGGAAGATTCCATTAATACTTGATTTAAACAGCAAACATGTGCTACTCAATGCATACCTCAGTGTTCATTCCTTTCTGAATTAAACCTGCTTCCCTCTGCAGTAGATGTCCATCAGTCCATTTGTACCTACCTGGTTCCTCTGGTGAGCTGCAGTACAGAATATTTCATAATAGGCCAGTATACAACATCCATCAAATAATTTCCAATTATCTATTAAACTAGAAGTTATTTTTACTATTTGAAACCAATGACCCCTGTTTTGATGTTGTGGGTTAACACCAAACACAAAAACAAACAGTCTTTTTCTAGTTAAAAGCTTTGGAAAAAAACAAATCAATTCAAGTGCATATTCCTTTGCACACTGATAATACAATAATTACATTGATCAGAAACATATGCTAATTGGATCACTCTGGAGCATTTTTCTCATTGTCTGGTACCACAAAACACATCTGGGTTTTATTTGCCCCATGTAAGTTAATAAGAGTATGGGCTTTTTTAAAACAACAAGCAAGATAATCCTAAAAACAATTTTCCAAAGTGAAAAGGGAGGGAAAAAACTTTCATGTTTCATCCAAGACTGTGTAAGTGTAAAAACAACTTTAAGATAGAAACTGAAGCACATTTTCTACCTACTTGGCTATTAGTGAGGAAAGAGAAAAGGGAAGTTAAAGACTCTCAATACTGTGGCTATAGAAAAGAAACAGCTCAGTTAAATATATTAATGGCACCAACAAGGGATGTCTCCCCCACCTACACAGCCCCAAATTGGAAAGATTTAAGGTGCCAATCCATCAGCCCTAGAAGATGTCAGGCTTCTTCTTGTTACTGAATCCCTTGCTCAGGAGAGCTGGAAACTTTCAAGCTTTCTGTTGGAGCATAGGGGATGCTGACACCTTCCAGATTTTCACTTTAGTGGACCAACCCACAGACAGTATGGTGCAGGGAACAGCAGATGGCTTCTCTTCTGTTACCTCTGCTGCCTAGAGAGGAAGCTGAGCACTGCTCTCAAACCATGCATATTCAGCTCTCCCTGCAAGAACAAGGCTCATTTATCCAAGGCTCAGCCCCCCAGCCCATAATACACCTGTGCCATTCCAGAGCAGGTCTGCAGACTTCTGTATGACTGGAATTTTCCCAGACAAAGGAAAGCAATTTGTTCTGAACTATGGAAGGATATTCAAGGTTTACTTTTAATTCTAAATAAATGTTGAGCCATTTGATATCATTTTTCCCTTCATCTCCTCCCTCTTAAAAATACACAACACAAACCAGGGCAAGTGACGACAAAAGGAAACCAGCTTGTTTTTGTGTTTCACAACTTACCTTACACTGATCTGGACTTTGATATAATTAGAACAACTACCACAAAACTTTTCCACCTGGGATGCTCTTTTCATACCTCACCACCATCAGTTCTGTTTGTGCAGAAGTCCAATGTAAATCCAGCAGGACACAGCATTTCTCCAGGTATTAAGCAACTTTTGTGCCATTTTTGTGAGACCACACGTTCAGAATTTAATCCCATAACTTTCTTACAGGATCACAGACGTCTGTGACAAAAGACTAAATTCACCATGAACTAATAGAAGAAAATGACTCTCTGGGAATGTGACAAGAGTGCAGCCAAGTTTTTCCATCATGTAATTGAATACCACAGAGTTTACTTTTCCCCAGAGTTCAATGAGAAGATAGGAGGAGGCTTTGATTATACTGATAACTTCACACAGCAGTGCCATGGGACAGAGTTCCCATTTTACCCACCTGGTTTTGGACATACACAATGCTCTGCTTCTCCCACAGCTATTATAAAGGCAGAAAAGATGTGCTTGGAGAATACAGCATAAATTACAAGAGAACCAGGATATGAGCAATTTAGATATAAATCTTGGAAGAAAATAAGCAGTACATTGGATTAAATGGAAAACTTTTTTCACTCCCAATTTATCTGTGCAAATAAAAGGAATATTGATGAATGTGGGAATGAACAGGAAGGTATGAATATAGACTGTTAAATCAATACAGGTGCATGCAAATAAATCACAAAATCCAAAAAACCTGATCAATTTTCAAACCAGCTGGTGCCTGATTTGCTTCTCAGGACATGAAGTGGAAATCTGCCATAAATATAACTTTTGTGTTTTCCAAGAGTGTCCACGAGCAACAGGTAGAAATCACTGTGCCACATTCTCTGGGCTGTGGGTGCACAGGAGATGAGGCAAAATATTGTAATGGGCTCTTTAAAATCTGTGAATCAACAAGAACAGGGGCAAGGGAGAATCAGGATCCTACCATCTCCCATTAGAGAGCTGGTGAGACCATGGCTCACTTTATTTGCTATAATTGTGTAAATTAAGTGCTGTTAAAATGTATGTAGTAATTAAATTGACACCTGATTAGTTCAAGGAAACACAGAAATGTTACTTGCAGGGTGTTTGTGAGGAATAAATGAGAAAGGAGCACTCAGCCCTTGGGCAGAGGGGGTTGTGGGGTATTCCCTGTGTCCATGGATTCTGTGTGAGGCATTTTGTGTGAGGAACACTCTGCTGCTGAGGCACGGGGTGAAAGTGGAGATAGACACTTACAAAGTAGCCTGTTCCCAAGCTGGAAGGAGCTGAGCTCTGCAATAAAACACAAAGACAAAGTGGAAAGTCAGTGATGGTTTTTAACACGTTCCAATCCACACAGCTCATTACCAGCCCTTTCCAAGCTTTTCATCACCACATCACAGCCCCAGCGTCCTGCCCCTTGTCATCTGCTACTGAAACAAACACAATGTTGCTTAATTTTTCCCTTTACATCTCTCAACCACTCCGAGATGGTAACGTGCTATTTACTGAATTCCAAGCTTCTGCCGTGGACGTAATTGCCAATTTATTTGACAGGCAGCTGGGTAATGAATTAATGATGGCATTTCGCCCTGCACTGAGACTAAACAGACACTCATCAACCAGCCTCCCTGACATGCTGACATTCAATGCCCTGGACTCCAGCTCCTCAGCTTCGTGGCCACAAAGGGGCAGGAGGGAGGGGGAGAAAGGGAAAAAAAGTAGACTGACTTCAAAACAAAAAGCCCGGTGGGTTTGGATGACTTTTTCAGTGTATGACCTGTTTGCCAATTTATTCCCGAAAGGCCCTGGTTAGTACACACATAGTGCTTTTCTAAAATGAGACATTTTGTAAACATAATTAGTAGTCTGAAATGTAAAGAATGCGTGGGCACAGAGAGGCTGCTTTAGTCAATGTACCATTTTCTGGAGAATGCAGTCACTACAATTTCCCATTTGGATGTCCACATTGTTTGACAAACCAAGGATATAGAAACAACAATCACAAAAAAAGCCAACAGGAAATATCTACAGTGTGAAATAGATTTCAAAACTAAAACCTATAAAAATAATTAAAACTAATATTACTACCATGGAAAATAATCAATTTGTTTAAATGCTTTTTAAAAAAATAGCATCATGAAATTCAGTTTAAGTGGGACACGATCACAACCTCTATATTCACAGGAATTAAGGAGATAAAGGGTTTTGTTTCATTAGTTTTTCATCTAAGCAATGGGGATTACACAGCAGGTTCTCTCAGAGACATGGGGGATCCTGGTGCTAATCCAGGTCAGGCTGTTCCATCAGAGGGGGAGCAGTGCCCAGCTCCAGCCTGCAGAGCCCGTGGGCACAGCAGCAAAAGCAGAGGAGCATTCACTAGTGAGGGTGCCTGAGAACCAGTGGGGAGCTCCTGTAGCTCCATTCCCTCTTCTGTAGCTCCATTCCCTCTCCTGTAGCTCCATTCCCTCTCCCAGAGCTCCATTCCCTCTCCTGTAGCTCCATTCCCTCTCCCGGAGCTCCATTCCCTCTCCTGTAGCTCCATTCACACTCCTGTAGCTCCATTCCCACTCCTGTAGCTCCATTCCCTCTCCTGTAGCTCCATTCCCTCTCCTGGAGCTCCAATCCCACTCCTGTACCTCTATTTCCACTCCTGTAGCTCATTTCTCTCTCCTGGAGCTCCACTCCCACTCCTGTTCCTCAGCACAGCCTCCCTTCCTGTGGTGACACAGCCTGGGGACAGCCAGACCTGCAGAGTGGCCCCAGGAGCCCGGGCACACCACTGGGAATACACAGAATTTTTGTCCCTTCATCCCTGTTCCAAGCCAGGGAGCCAAACTGCAGATCTGCAGTGCACAGCTCAGGCTATCAGGGAAGGGAACTGCACACAATTAAAGACACTCCAAAGTCCCCCTGTCCCCACCCCTGCTGCACCCTGTGCCACCATCACCCACAGGACAGCCCCTGGTGCCAGGGGTGATGGCCCTGAGAGCTCCCCTGCTGTCCCTGGGCACGGGCACAGCCCTGCCCAGCTGCTGCTCCCAGCTGGGCACAGCCCCTGGCACAGCCACTCCATGGGCACAGGCCCTGCTTTGGGGATGCCAAAAAGATTTTGGCTTTTTATACATTTTTTATATATTCATAACTCTGTAGACTACTATTATACAGTTACATAGCTTCTTAACTACCTCTAGTCCTTTTCTTACCCTTTCTCTTAGATTTTAGAACAGTAAGTTCACCTTCCTGGACTCTTATTCAGTCTATAGTGAACCAAGGATGTTTAATTTTTTCCATATATTGTAGACATAATAAATGTGGGGCTAGAAGCTGGGGGAGCAATGGGGGCTTCAGTGGAGGGCAGAACCAAGAGAGGGGATTACTTAATTAACTGTTCCTCTAATTGGATACTTTCTTGAAGTATGCTAATTTGTTAAACTTATAAAATTGTTCCAAGTCCTGTATCACACGTGCATTTTGCCATACTTGCACCTGCAGGACCTTCATTAAAGGTGACAGCTTTTCATCATCTTACTATTGTTTGGCTTGTGACTTTTGGCGTCTCTGGGAGCCCCTGTGGCCCTGCAGCCCTGGCACAGAGCACACCCTGCTCAGCACCCCACAGGGCACACACTGCCCTCCCTCTCTGCTCCATGCCACTGAGATTCCCTTCATTTCAGCTGCAGATTTACCCACAAATACCACACGTGCAGTCGTTAGAACCACTTTTGTTTCAGTTCTGTGCAGATGCCAAGCGAGTCTCACTCTTTCACTCACAGTTTTTTCAAACTTACTTTACTGGCTGAAAGCTCCAAAGTTTGCATTCTGCATCTGTGTGTAATTTTTGTCTGCTTTTTATTCCAAGTTTTGGAAGGATAGAGTATCAAAACAAAACAATAAAGAGGAAGAAAAAAAGAATAAGCAAACAAAATATTTCCCACTGAATATTTTCATTCCTTCAAAAGCAATGCTGCAATGGCTATGGGAGGACAGTCGAAAACATAGCAGTCAAATGACTTCCACTGAACAACTGTGCAATTTCAGGGAACTGGAGTTTGCTGGATGGAAATATAGCCCTTCACACATTGCATGCTGCATATGGAGAGTACAGTTTGCAAACTCTGTTTAATTGAAGTATGAAAGGCTGTGCTGCACATGCATGAATGACTGTCAGCTGTGTAGAGCCGTGTGCTGGCAGAGCACAGGGGCTGAAGCGAGGGCTATGCAAGGAGACAACTTCTCACCTTCTGGGAACTCCCAAGGGCGAAGGGCTCCCACTACCCCGTGCCCAGCCTTGGCACCAACTGTGCAAACATCTTTACAAGCCCGTGCTGAGTCGTGATCCTGCACTGGCTGGTCTATAGCTCTTATTTAAAGTGTGCCTATAATAGAGGTAATGGTTTCACTTTCCGAAACCCTTTGCAAAAATAGGACATTAGAAATACTGTTTGATATTCACACAACCACCAGCAGAAGCCTGCATCAGGTGCCCATCAGCAAAATACACTTGCTTAAAATTGACAGGGTTCTGGGCTTTTTTCCCCACCTCTTTTTTTTTTTTTTTTGTTTGTTTTTTTTTTTTTTTTTTTTTTTTTTTTTTTTTTTTCCATCCTTTCTTAAAGAAAAGAACTTTGGCCCAGAAGCAAAAATGTAGTAACCCTCGTGTAAGCATTAGTTTATTGTGTACCAAAGAAAATTACATCCTTGAGGTCTTGGAAGGCACAGTTATACCCATTTTGCATATATATTGTGCATTACTTGGGGAGCTGGGTGGGGAGAAAGACTGTGTTGTACATATTTGTTCTGGCTATTGTTTATGCAGGTCTGACTGAATGAAGGAACAGTGGGTATCATTTCAATTTCTGATGTCAACATCAAATTACTTATTTAATTTCATGCCTGGCGAAGCATTGTATAGCTACACGCAGAATCATTTCACTTCATTTGTTATGCTGTGTTTTCTTGGCGATTGGCTTGCCTTCCAACTGACAGCTTTAATTACGACATGAATTTGATTGCACTGCCGAGGAATTAACATAATGCAACAAAGCATTTAAGCACCCAACCTTAGACACACAAACACACACATGCCCACCCTCGCAGCCCCACGCACACAAAGCACAGGCACTGCTGCTGAGCAGCTCCTGGCACACACACACGGGCACTGCCCTGCTCCTGGGCCTCACACACTGCCAACATCACTGGGGATCTGCACAGGGAGCACCACTCAGGGCTTCACACTGAACCAAGCATGTTTTGTTTCTTCCATGTATTTTAGACATAATAAATGTGGGGCTAGAAGGTGGAGGAGCAATGGGTGCAGAACCAAAGAGGGGGATTACTTAATTAACTGTTCCTCTAATTGGATATTTCTCTGAAGTATGCTAATTTGTTAAACTTATAAAATGTCCAAGTCCTATATCACATGTGCATTCTGCCAGACTTGCACCTGGAGGACCTTCATTAAAGGTAACAGCTTTTCATCATCTTAATATTGTTTGGCTTGTGACTTTTGGCATCACTGGGAGTCCCGGTGTGTACATAACCCAAAGGCTGTCCCTCCATTTGTCTTTGGCTTTGTACAGGTGAGAGGGATGGGGGACAAAAGAATTGAAAATATCAAAGTATCCTGGATTTGGGGCTGAAACCATGAGCATGACCCACAGAATTACATGCTGGAGTCTCTTCCTGAAGCAAACCGGGTGGGAAGGGCAGCTCAGGATTTCAGGACTTGGTCCTCATTGTCACCTCCTTGCTGTGGCTGTTCTCAAGCACAAAGTGCCCAGCACAGGAGGAGCACACAGACACAGCTCTGCTCGTGTGCCTCCACTCCACACACTGCCAAAATCACTGCTGATATTCTGGACAGGGAGAAGCACTGAGGGATTCACAGCACATAACCCAAAGGCTGTACCTCAATTTGTGTTTGGCTCTTTACAGGTGAGAGGGATGGGGGACAAAAGAATTGAAAATATCCTGGATTTGGAGCTGAAACCATGAGCTGCTCACAGGATTACACTTCTTCCTGAAGCAAACAGCCACAGACCTGATGGGCAGGGCACTTCAGGATTTCAGGGCTTGGTCCTCATTGTCACCTCTTTGCTGTGGCTCCTCTCAAGCACAAAGTGCCCAGCACAGGAGGAGCACACAGGCACAGGGACTGGGAGCAGGGGAGCACTCATGAAGGGTGCAGCAGCTTTAATGAGCTTTTTTGAGAGCCCAAGAGCAGACCTTTAATGCAGGGACAAATGGGAAGATTCCTGTCCCATGCCCTGTTCAGGAACTGGAAAAACATTGCAGACAGAAATGTGCCAGCTGCAGCAAGAGGTGATGAGGTGCTGAATCCCATCCAGTGACCATGTGGGAGAGGCTTTTGCTGTTCATCCCTTCACTGAAAGCCTGCACACAACACCAGAAGCTGGGCTGAGATCAGGAATTTAGGAATGTGCTCCAAAGAAATCAGGTGGTTTGATTTCTGATTAGCAAAGAGGTGGCTGAACCCCTGAATGCTCGGTGCATTTACCATCCAGGTTAGATGTAACTCTCATGTTTTCCTCAGGTAAATCTCCTGGCAGCTTTGTAAAACATGACAAGAATGTATTCCAAAGAGGGAGGACTCAATTAAAAATAAATACATACAGGGAGATAAAAAAAAGGAGTTGACTGAGCTCCAAGCTGAGCACAAGAGAAAGCGCTGCCATCTTGTCTCCAAGCAAGATCTCAACAAAATGAATTCTACTACTGGCAAGATTTTGATGAGATTAAACTGACTACAGCACCCTATATATAAAGGAGGAGCAGCTCTCCAATTTCTCTTTTAGGCCCCTGGAGCTACCTCTGTCCATAAAGGAAAAAAACAAGTTGTCATTCCTAAAAAAAAAGCCTATACCAGAGAGAAAGGCAGAGAGCCATGGGTTTATGAAATTCAGAGGGGGAGCTGGATCAGGGCACTGCTTGCACTGGAGCATTTGAGTAATCATTATCCCTAATCTAGCAGGGGTCAGATTCTCTGCTAATTATGTTCTCTCACAGAGGGGTGGGTGTGTGCACACGTGTGCAGGCGAGGACAAAGAGAGGAGTTGACAGAAATCAGTCTCACTGCATTGCATCTGACAAGAACAGAGGATATTCCCCTTCCTACTGTCTGATGCTATTTCAAGCCTCATTATGAGAAAAATCTCCTGTTTAACATGGTCTTTTCATTGAATTATCTTCTTTTCATTTTTGCCCACCTCTCACAAACGCTGCAAATTACCTGCTTGGATCTCATTAGCCTGGCAAGGAGTCCCTCCTTGTAAACACACTTTGCATCACTCTGCATTATCCAAGGGCTGCAGGAACATTTACAATAGGCAAAGTTGAAAGATCCCTGACAGGAGGGGGAATGAAGCCACTGACATGTCAGTTTGCAACTGGATGTTCATTATCCCCTCTCCCTCATTCTGCATCTGTCACTGAGCTCTCAGCAGGCCCTGCAGGAAGGCCTGTGAAGCTCTCACATTCCTGCTTCACCAGCCTGCTCAAAATTGGGATGGGAAAATGGATCATCCACCTGGAGAACGTGCACTTCAGTCATTAGCCACATTTCCATACAGCAGCCATGCCTTACAGTGCTGCCAGGTGACAATAGTGGAGATTCATTATATTTCATGGCCAAATTTTGCTTTCTGACCTCAAGGTTAATCTGCCTGCAATGTTTTATATTTTCTGTTCTGTCTTCTATTTAGTACACTTTTTTGTATATTTTTTTTTCTAAGAAAATAGCTGCAAAAACAGAAGGAAAGCTTCAGAGAAAACTTGCTCTGTTGTCTGTAGCTTTTTTGACAGTAAATAGTGGGTATCATATGACATCTGACTTCTCAAAAAATATTATTGAACATAAACATTGGGAAGATCCTTTCATTTCTGCACATGGGGTGTCTGACTTTGGGAGAGGGGAATGGGAGGGACAGCTCTGAGTGGAATTTGGGGCAATGGGATGGACAGCTGTGAACCAAGTTTGGGAGAAGGGAATGGGATGGACAGCTCTGAACTGATTTTGGGAGGGGAACAATGGCATGGACAGCTCTGAGCTGACTTTGGGAAAGGGGGAATGGGATGGACAGCTCTGAACTGAATTTGGGAGGGGGAATGGGATGCACAGCTCTGAACTGATTTTGGGAGGGGACAATGGGAGGGACAGGTCTGAACTGACTTTGGGGCAATGGGAATTACTGCTCTGAACTGACTCTGGGAGAGGACAATGGGAATTACTGCTCTGAAGTGAAGGAGCCTGGGGAGGGCCAGCACAGACCAGCCCCAGTGAGAGCTGTCTCGTGAGTGTTTTTCAAATCTCAGCTGAACTGGTGATGCCAGACCACAGAGACATGCTTGTATTGCAATGAATTATCAAAGCAAAGGAAGTTTCCTTATTAAGCAAAACATAAATTATGTATAACACTTTAAAATATACATCTCCACATATATTTACATAACGTTGCTTTTGAGCAACCTGTGAATCCCTCTGTCCTCTCCTGGGTGCACTAGGGAAGTTGTATTTGCTCTCTACTTCCTTTTAATTTGCCACAGCACCGAGACAAAGGAAAAGTATTGTAAAAACATCAGAGAAAAACTGGATTTGATGGGCGGAAGGGGACCCAGGACTCTGCTGTCACTGCCAGGTCTGGCAGTGCAATTCTGTGAGCTGCTGAGAAGCCCAATAAACCTCAGAGCTCTCCACTCACGACATGGCAAGGGAATGACAAAGCTAAATTAAAACCGTGTTTGTAAGGAGCTGTGACATTTTTTGCTGAAGGTGCTGTGTAATTGTGAAGTTGGTTGCAGTGGCTCCCCAGCTGCCACAGGGCTCAGATAAGCCAGGATGATGATGGTGACAGGCTGACATCCAGCTGCCTTCCACTGCTACCTGTACAGAGCATTTCCTTACTGCCTCCTCTGGCTTCACTCTCCTCTTCCAAAGAGATCTCACAGCCCTGAGCCTGACCTCAGCTGACAGCTATGAAGGGCAAGCTCTGAAGTGTTTAGCTGAATGTAACCCATAAAGGCTGGCTCTGGGGAAGAAATGGACCTCTAAATGTGACAAAGGGATGTGGAGAGAGAGTGCTACACATTTCACACTTTCACAGAAAGAAAAAAAAAATCAGGCATCTGTTCCAGTGATATGCACAAATCAGCAAAAATTGCTAGCTGTGTGCCTTCAGGCTTAAATTTGCACAACGAAATGTATCCTTTACAAAGGTATTTCTTTTAATGCCTGCTCAGTTCAGTTTTATTGGATTGGCCTATAGAGGACACCATCTGGTATCTGTCATCCAAATCTACACAGACATGCTATCGATAAAATCCCCATTTCCAAAATGTGGGTTAGTTAAAAGTAGGGCCAGATTGCTGGCTGGTACAAATTGGGTTGACTGATGTAGCTATCCATGCTTTTACCAGCAAAGGATCTGACCTACAAAATGCCCAATTTAGACACTCTGTTGGGACAGGGCTTTCTTTATATTCTGTGCTGTAAAGCATGTGGCACAGAGGACACAGAGCCATGAATAAAACACTCAAGGATTGTGATGGTACACATAATAAATAGTAATCTAATTGCAGCAACAGAAAGATTTCTGTAGTCAGTGCTCTGTCAGAACAACTCATGTGTGTCACTGGTGAATGAGCAGCATTCTCCCATGGAGAAAAACACTTTCCACAGGGCTGCCATCTCAGGCCTTTCCACAGCACTTTAGGTAGAGCAACAAAGGCAGAGCTTATGCTATTGTTGGCCATGTTATATCAATTCATTATACATAACTGAGTCTCTCTAGACACTCAAATACTTCTCATAAAGACAGTATGTAGCCCAAAGAAATACATTCTTTTCCTCCACCACTTGGGGTAAAAATGTTACTCACTTCTCAGCTATGCAGAACATCTTAACTTCATTAAATGGCCTTCAACTGCTTCCAAAGAGCTGAGTGTTTGCACACAGAAAGACATTGTATCAATCTTTAAGAAGTTTACTGAGCCAGGGCGGGAGACCTGAGTTACCTCTTCCTCTCCTGTGATCTGCCAAAACCCCACACCCTGTAGGAGCTGTAAAGTCAGTGTGCATCTTTATTCAGTGCTGGGGCATGCGGGATCACTTCCTAATCTAAGTCAATTTTCTCTTCCTACTCTAGGTTAATGTTCTGACCCCCATATCTCAGCTGAAGCCCCAAAGGGAAGGAGATTTAGCCACAAGCCATGCCAGGACCCAATCCCCATGTGCACTTACATCGCTGAGCCTCTCGCGGGAGCTGCTGCGCTGGAAGCCCTTGGACTCGCCGCTGGCGCTCTCGCTGTCGCTGTCCCGGCAGCTGTGCTGGCCTGGCTTGAGCTGCACGAGGAGACACAAAGACAGCAAGGGTTGAGCCTGGGTGAGGTGAGAGCCCTTGTCCCACTGTCCTTCATGCCCTCCCAGCAGCAGCAGTGTGGCCACGGCTCTGTGCCAGCGCTCCGTGTCCCTGTGCCAGGCACAGCCCAGGGACACCACGGACCCCAGGGAGCTGCAGCTGCTGCAGGCAGGAGCTCACTCGTGTCCCAACAACACTCATGGCCCAAGGAAATCACAGTTTGAAACCTTTCTCTGAGACCTTCACCTTTCAGGCTTCTCAAGGTATTTCTGCTGTAGATGAAGGTTTTGGTTTCCATCACAATGGAGCACTCAGAGCCTCAGTTCCTCCCTCCTTACAGCATTGAGGACCTGAGATCAGTGGGAGTCTCCCCAGGGGAAGAGGAGGTCACCACTCCAGAGAAGCCTTTCTTTTGCTGGACTAGCCCTGAACCACACGGCCTGGCACTCTAAACAGTGTTCAACCAACAAACCTCAATGTTCATAAAACAACAGGATCTACTTAATAGGTATCAAACTGCTTTTGTTTTTCAAACCAGCTTTAATGAACTTTACTGGCAAAGTAATAAGAAAAACTACTAAAAAACCCCTAAACTACATTTTCATTACAATTGAGAACACATCTGCTTTCTCTTACACTTTGGACTGTTGAGGTCACCTCATTACACAGCAGTGTACTGGGAGGAACATTCACAGACACCCATTACACACGTCCACGAGCACATGCACACCTAGAGAGCAAGAGGAAGAGATGATCCGCATCCCCTGCAATGCTGAAAATGCACATCTTTGTTTTAAAGTATCCTTCCCTATGTTTTGCTTGAATGTATTGAAATTTTCATTTAGCCTTGCTGATGCTTTGAACTAACTCTGGTGGTTCACACTGGCAAGAAATCTCTTCCAGAAATTTAGACTTAAAATCACACACATAAATACTGGAAGCAGAGGTAAATGCAGAGAAAATACTTGGTGAGGTACCTAATGAAATACTTTATGAGAGACCTACTAAACGCAACAATATCCATATAACAAACACCAAACAACTCCTGCTAACTTATTCTAATTGTTAATATGATGATGGTAGGTTCTGCTCATACCCTATTGGAGCAGGTATTCATTCATCTCCATGCCATGACTGGAGACCAAAAGTTCCTCTTCCAACATTCTCCATCACCCTTTTTTCCCCTCTTTCTTCTCTCTCTCTCATTTATTTCCAGTTCTCCCAGAAACAAGCACACACAAAAATTCACACAAATGCACTTTTACAGGTGCACACAAATAAAATCTACACTTCTGTTCACCAACAGCCACAGCTGCTCCCTCCCAGGCTCACTGAAGGAGCACAAAAAGCATCCTCACCCTCAGGTTATCACTTCTTACCACTGCCAGAGCAAACTGCATCTGTAAGTTTGGTATTTTTGTGCTACTTCTCCTTAATCCCTTACTCCCCTCACCACTAAAGGGAAGCTTTGGGTGCTCTCCATCAGCCAAATCAAAATAAGGACACAAAGTCCATGAAACTAAAAGTTCCAACTCACAACTGAGTTGCAATGCGTGAGCACAACTGCAAAAAATGGCACAGGCAAACTCTCAGCCCAAAGAAAATGTAGCAGAAGGACCAGAGCTATTTGTCAGACACTTACAATTCAATAAATAAACGAAATTTTCCACAGCTCAGCCAGAACGTTCCCAGTAAAATGATTTTTATTTCCAATGGAACGGTTTATCAGTCAGATCTAAGAGATCTTGGGAGCAGCTCTTGGAGGCAGAGGGGAGGATAACGAATTCAAGAAGTCTTACACTTCATCTATAACTCCCTGATCTGATCTAGGACCTCCATGTCCTGTTATTTTATGGTCCCAAGTTTAACATTTACCCACCCAAAGGAAAATGGATCAAGTTTCCTTGACTTGGTCTTTAGTCAACATCCACCCAATGATGGAAAAGCTCTTATTGCAAGTGGGGTGTTAAGATTTTTTTTTTCCCAGTCTCAGATTTTATTTCTAGAACCTAAATTTAGTTTGTACACAATCTTCACACATTAGTTATTTGCTAACTAATAATAACAGCCCAGTTTTATAATTCTTCTACATCACGAATTCCAGCTATTTACAGAGAAGAGAAGAAAAACCCAGCAGGTGTCAATTTTCTAGACACAATTTATAAGGAGTAAGAGAACATGATGAAGACATCTGAGCCTGAAACTGTGTAGAAAAAAAAGTGAGGGACTGCAGGGACTAGACAGCAAACTCAGAAATAAGTCCAAGTTAAGATTTATAAGCTTTCCATATTTTCCTTTCTTTTTTTCCAAGTTGAGCTTCTCCATGTGCCAAACCGTTGAGGGTTTGCATTTTATTCCAGAACCCATCAATCTGTGTTAAATTAAAAAAGTAAAGCATGGAAATGTGCCCGTTGTCTTCTCTTAAGAACCTAAAGTTACACTCAAACCCACATGAGAACACTTAATGTGGACAGGCCATGGGTCATTTCATCTCAATCTGTTTCCAGAGATTCAGCTGCTAAAAACAATGCTGAAACAGCACAGGGCTGCTCCAAAGGCCACAGATAACAGAGGGGATCTTTAGTTACACTTTTGTGCATCTCATTCATCACCTGGGGCACACAGGAACCCTAAAATCAGCTTCCCCATGGAAATGAAAATTTCCTTGGAAAAAAATTGAAGTGCAATGTTGAGAGCTTGTTTCTCCATTGTTTCTAGCAGGGTACCCTGTGATGGTGTTCACAAGGGTCTGAGGATGAGGGAAGAGATGAGGATCTGACTCCATGTTTCAGAAGGCTGATTTATTATTTTATCATATATATTACATTAAAACTATACTAATAGAAGAAAGGATTTCATCAGAAGGCTGGCTAAGAATAGAATAAGAATGATAACAAAGGCTTGTGGCTGACCAAGACAGTCCAGCCAGCTGGGCTGTGATTGGCCATTAATTAGAAACGACCACATGAGCCAATCACAGATGCACCTGTTGCATTCCACATCAGCAGATAATCATTGTTTACATTTTGTTCCTGAGGCCTTTCAGCTTCTCAGGAGGAAAAATCCAAAGGAAAGGATTTTTCAGAAAATATCATGGCAACAGTACCCCATGCAAACAGCAGCAGCAGCACGAAAATCCCATTATTCCTGTCTGTGCAGGGCTGGGACTGCACTGGGTGATCCTTGGGGGTCCCTTCCCACTCAGGTTATTCTGTGGTTCTACAAAGGTCTCACTGAGGAACTCCCCACATTAACACAGCATTAATTCTTCTAATTTGCACCAGGCACGGAGTGCAAAAGGGTTTACAAAAAGTGACTTTGATTCTGTGCTTTCACAGTGGGAATGAATTTGTCCATGAAGGGATCCATCTGAAGGGTCTCATAAAGAGGAAATACAGACATTTTCTAGACTGAAAGCCCAAAATTCTGAAAACTCAGAGTGTCTCTGGCTCTGCGGTATCAGGGACACCCCTAGACAGAGATGGGTACATGCAAAAAAAGCACCTCAGGAACACTTGCCCAGGCTGAACAACTCAGGACCCAATCCTGGGGCATGCCCACTGCTCCAAAACTTTTCTAGTTTTCGGTCATTCTAAGCATTGCATCTTCCATTGATCCTGTTAATTTGTAATGCCTTTGAATCTGCTGGAGGACACCAGAAGTCAAGCAGGACTGCCTAAAGTCATAACTACATTTCTATTAAAGGAAAAGGCCAAAAAGCAAATTTGGAAGGGTGGTTGCTGGCTGAGGGCTCAGCAGAGAATTTTATTTCTGATTCTTCACCACACCTGCCCCAAACAGAGAGGAATAGGTGTTCCCTGCTCTCCAAAACTGGATTGTTGGGAGGATTTTTCCCTCAGGGCAGTTTCTCCAGGGGGTGATGGTGGAGTCCAGTGCACCACAGCCAGGGATGGAGGAGGGAAGCTGAGCTGGGGTGCACAGGGTGGCATTGCAATTTTTGTCATTGTTCTGACTAGTCAAATCTATTCTTATGGACAATAAATGGAATTTTTTCCCCCAAGTGGAGACTGTTTTGCCCATGACAATAATGGGTTGCCTTGCCTTTACCTCAGAAACTTCTCCCCTCCCCTGCCCTGCTGAGCAGGGGTGTGAGAGGGGCTGGGGAGTTTGGCCTCAGCCATGATGTGGCTTTTGAGTCACAAAACTTCAGTCACAACTCTGCAGAGTGATGAGGGATGGAGGCAAAGCTGGGGACTGGCAGGAGGGACACTGAGAACACAGAGAGGAGAGGCACAAGATATGGAACACCAAGAGGAACCATTTGATGAAGGAACAGAGACTTGCTCAAGCCTGAAGGTCCCACAGAAACCATCCAGAAATTATGAATAAACCAAAATAGCTGCAGAAACATCAACATGAAACTGCTGTCACAGCAAGTGCTAACAGGAGCTCTTCTGTCAGCCCACGGAGAGATTTTCAGGTGACTTGGAATCTAACAGAACTATTTTTGCAGCAGGGAAACACTCAGCCCTACTTTGTGACAGTGAAAGTGCAAACTGAATATTCATCTGTGTCCAGGGAAAGCAGCTCTGCTGTGCCCCATTCAGTGTTAGAGGGTAGAGCAGAGCTAAACTCTCAGGTTTAGGAGCAGGACAGACCTAGAGCTGCTGTGCCAGCCAGACACTTCTGTGACATGACAGGAGGGGACAAAGCCATAAAAATTCCTAAGGGCAATCCATGGCAGCAGAGCTCTCTGTGGCCTTTTCTCCCAGCCAGGAAAGAAGGAAGGACAGAGCTGATCATGTTAAGAGTGTAAGGGAGGATGGAAGGGCAGCTGAGCCCCAGACTCCAGGGAGCATCAACCTCTGAGGATCACAGTTGGCTGTGCTGGATCCCAAAGCCACTTTAGATAATTCCATTGTAGCCCATAAACAAGAAGCAAAATAAATAAACCAGCTGAGAATTTGGCAAAAGCCTTTTTCACAGAGCTTATATATCATGTCAAAAACACCCAAATGTGGCT